GAAACGAGCATACACAGTAACGAATATGAACGGGAACAACAACATACGGTTTCGGTTTTGGATTGCGGATTATGGACTCGTCCGCCGTTTAGGGTACCGGGTATGTTTCTGTATGTTGACTTTGTTTTGGGTACATTTCTGTATACCTGGGGTACATATCTGTAGTACCCGTGCCGACTACCACCCCTTCAACAAGAGTAAGCGTTAGGGTAACCATCAAGCCAGCCGGGCCCTCCTCACTGAGCTTTGATCGTGAGACGACAGAGAGGTGACTACGGTATCGTGCAACGGACAGAGCGATTCCGGCCATTTGACAAAACGCGGATCGGGAGATCGCGTCAGTTTCTATTCTCCCGCCTCTTTGATGTACGGAGGTACCTAAGAGTCATAAATCACCAAACCTTTGTTCATAAATGGCATTCCTAACGCGGATGTCGCCGGGGGGATATTTCCCCAAATCTGTAATCGAAAATGTCCTCCAATTTCTGGCCTGATAACAAAGGGTGGTAAGTGCCCTGTTTGTTTGCGAGCTGGTGGAAATATTGGAGGTCTTCTCCACTAGATACGTGACGGATAACGACAATAAAAGCGTGTCACTGCCAATCTGTTGCCTTTGTCAGAGGAAGAGATTGTTAACTTCAAAGACACGTAATAACGACATGCGTCACCTAGCGGAGAACCATCTCTGGGGGCGCTCATTACCGGCGACCGTTGGAATCACTGAAGTAAAGGGCATAGTTATCTCCCTTGGATGTCTCCGGTCGTGAAAAAAGCTCAATTTCCTACTTCCGGAGTTTGACAGAGGAGCCGATGGATGATACGGATTTGGGTTAGTGAGTACCTACACACGACACTGAAGTAGGGTGGGGAGTGGGAAGGTGTTGGGGTGTGTGTGTGTGTTTCTGAACTTCGTTTAAACGGATGTGAAGAAGCATAGCAATAGTTTTAGAGCGGCATGAGGCTCGAGTAGGCAATCCTTGCTGATTGAGGAGTGAGTTTAGTTTTACGCTGCTTTTAGCAATGTTCCAGCAATATCACGGCGGGGGATACCTGAAATGGGTTTCACACATTGTGGGGAATCGATACCGGGTCTTCGGCGTGACGAGCGAACGCTGTAACCACTAGGCCACCCAACCGCCCCAGCTGACTAAGGCTCAGTCTCTGACGAAATATAGCTATGATACAACAACTTCTTGTAAGTGAGTGAGTATGTTTTACACCGCTTTTAGCAATATTCCAGAAATATCACGGCGGGGGACACCAGAAATGGGTTTCAGGCATTGTACCCATGTGGGGAATCGAACTCAGGTCTTCAGCGTGACGAGCGGACGCTTAACCATTAGGCTACCCCACCGCCCAGCTTCTCTTGAGAACCAGTAAGGGGCTCTTGTGAGTTTGCAGCCCATGGAAAACCTAGACTTGCTTCATGTTCAGCTTTGGAATGACTAAAGGGCGGAAGGATAAATACTTGGTTCAGGGTCTGTGAGCCAGAATGATTTACCATTGGTGCTACTCGTGTAATGTGATTCCGAGATAAACTGAGTCTTATGATTCATCCATTACCAAATTCCAAATGGTCAGATATGTGTTGTTATGTACCAAGGACCACCCCGACATCGGCCACCTCCTCATTATGAGATAGGACCAGAGACCATATAATAGATAAATGGTCTCTGATAGGACCAAGTCTAGACTTAATGATACCCATCTCTGCTAAGATGAATATTTTGATGCATGCTCTTTGAGGGTTTTTTTCTGAAAGTTGATAACTACTTGATATTGAAAGACACATTCACCGCTGAAAAATTCATTTCCAGAAGAAAAAATAAATTTGAAAGTTTTTAGCCAACCAAAACATATTACTGTTGATATTGATATTTAATGTACTATATCTCTATTGAGCCCACAAACTGTTATGTACGCATATTCCTCTGTATGCTTGCATTCAACCTATTTGGAACAATATAAAAAAAGTCTAGACTTTTCACAGTCTCTAAAAAAGATGGTCTTGATAACAAATAAATCGCGTCATAAATCGAAAACGAGCCAAATTACGAGGGAGATGCAGTCTAGTTTGCTTTGAAAACACACTGTCATTTAGAAAGTGGTCAAATGTAACATATGTTATATTTGTGTTTACACTTTCTCAGCAACATACAGATTCTTGTATCCATCTGGGATTTGAACCCACACTCTCATAGCCAGGCATCTAATCGCCACTCTGCGATCTAACCCACTCGGCCACCCACTTGTGAGACTTGCTTCATTTAGGGATGTTGCATTACAGGTTTCGCTGGGAGGATGGGAAAATAATTGTTAAGGGACTGTAAGACAGACTAAGATCTAACCCACTCGGCCACCTGGGACGCTGCAGCTGCTACCGGGGATGCAGGTGTCACATTCCCAGCACCAGCACGTGTGCGACGATGCCGACAGCGATGTGATCACACACATCAATGTGTACATTCCCATGCCAAGCAGCTGTCTGTCACAGGAGATGTACATTCGAGTTGTCAAAGCATGTCATTCATGCACGCCATGTTAGTTGTCAGCGATGTCTTCAGCGGTCCATCTCAGCTGTTACAGATGACGTTGTATCTCGGACACAGGAGAAATATTACAACCGAATCCAACTGAATCTAGCTCGTCCCACCTCTAAAATGTTCCTTGTTCTGGGCAGTATTCGGAGATTTTATCTATATATATAGATAGATGTTAAAACAGATGACTTCATTTCTACGGTGAGTGAGTGAGTTTAGGTTTACGCCGCTTTTAGCAATATTCCAGCAATATCACGGCGAGGGACACCAGAAATGGGCTTCACAAATTGTACCCATATGGGTAATGGAACCCAGGTCTTTGCAGTGAGTGAGTGAGTGAGTGAGTGAGAGATTTAATGCCACTATCAACTAATTTCAGTCACTGTCAGCAGCCTTACTGGGGAGAATAGCCAGAAGTGATGCAACTATAAGACGTTTACCACTCTGGAGAAAACCAAGATCAGAAAGATGCAGAGACACCTAGATATAACTGGGATTAAGCATGGATCCAAACCCATTATAATTATAACAGGATTCTGGCATGCCTAAGGGACATAACTCAATCCAGTGAATTACTTTACGTAAGACAACAGGGGGACACTGCCCTGCTCCATTCCGATCACAACCCCGCCGCCCCTACTTCATTTCTAGGAGGGGCTGGGGTAGCCTAGTGGTTAAAGCGTTCGCTCGTCAGCACCGGTTCGTTTTCCCACATGGGTACAGTGTTTGAAGAGGCAACAACGTGGTGGTCCAAACAAGGGACTTGGTTGGTGGTGTGTCATTGTAGCCGAACACGCCGGACGCTGCTCATGCAATCAATCACTGGTTTGTCTGGTCCAGACAGACCGCCGTCATATAACTTGAATATCACTGAATGACGCGTTAAACAAAACAAAAATAAGAAAATATAACACTATTTACATTTTGATTGTCAGTCACCAGATATAAACGCACACACTGTCAACTTTCCCATCATGAATAGTGTTATGAATATGACTAGCAACATTAATATGCTCCTATTTTGTACTCATTAAGAAACAGCGTTCTCCACGAACAGTGAACGTGCTTAGAAACTGGTTAAAATAGGTACTGCGTGCACCATGATTACGTTTCAAATGCCCGAAAATGGGGATTGGGTGGACAGACTGTGGATTAATGTTCCGTAACCTGAATACTCTGATCTAGTTTGTGTCATAGTCTCTAAAACCTGACATTAGTCCTAGATCAAGCGCGCGCGCGCACGCACGCACACACACATGCATGCACGTCTCTATATTACATTTCTTGAACACGACAAAATACCTGGAACACATCACCGACTACAACATTCAACGACAAAACAAACAAAACATCCAATTAAGGTACCATTTTAGCAAAACTGACCAGTGCATGAAGATCCGGGTTAGAATTGGTCTTTAGCAACCAATGCTTGTCGTATGAGGCGACTAACGGGATCGGGTGGTCAGGCTCGTTGACTTAGTTGACACATGTCACAGTATCCCAATTGCGTAGAGAGATGCTCATGCTTTTGATCACTGAATATTTTGGTCCAGATTCGATTATTTACAGACCGCACCATATTGCGAGTGCGGCGTAAAACTAAACTCACTCACTCACAGACTCGTCGCTTTTGACAACGAAATCATGCGAAACTGACATAATGCCCTGTTGAAATACGTGCATGTCAATCAAGCGCTGAAGCACGGCCTGGAGCATGTAATAACCATGCATTACAATATCGCACAATGTGGGCATTGTGTCGCGGTATAAAGGGACCGCCGTGATATACAGGAATTTATTGTGTTGACGGATTGACAGCTTGCATTCTGTTGTGTACTGAACTTCAAAAATAGATAGTCTGATGATTTGTGTGCAGTACATTTATGCGTCATAGATGTAGATGGGTTTTATTTCTATAGCCTGAGGTCACGTTAGAACACATAGAACATGTCGGATAACTATCACAATGTCTTCATATCTACAAGCCCGGTTATAGTTTTCACTTCACCTTATAGACCTTTATAAGTATGTGATGCATATATCAGTATTGCTGACTTTTCACGTGGCTGTATCGCAAAGTTTCAACTCGATACGTGGCAATTAAACATATGGTTTAGCAAGGATATTAGTGACGTGAAATCTGACCGGACGATGCATAATTTTAAGGAGAAATCGATTTTTCATTAAAAATATGAATCATGAGATATCAAATTGTTCCTTCGTGCGCTGAAAGTAGATGTCTGGTGTATATGTCGTATATGTAATGGGTTTTTGTAGTATAATAGTATAAGTGTGATTAAAATGCGCAATAATAGTATAAGTGTAATTAAAGTGCGCCATAATAGTATAAGTGTAATTAAACTGCGCCATAATAGTATAAGTCTTGAGAGTGTTAACTTTGTACATCATATTCAGGAGCCTCATCCGGTGTTAAAACCCGTTGTTAAAATTGACACTCACCTAAAAAATGTGGGCGCGGTGCTTTGACGACAGTAGCGACAGGCTCCGGTGATCACACAAAATGTTACTCGTGAAGAAATGCTACACGGGTAAAGTTCATCAGTCACAGCACTGAGGATTACTGTACATCCATGGACTTCTGACAGGCTTCTGTAAGTCAGTACGGCCAGTTAACATGGACAACGTCCAGCAGGTCAGCAACAGTGGCGATCTATCACGTACAGCACTGGAGGCGGTGTTTACATCAACTCACGTCTGCTGTCAGCCGCGCAGACGACATGATTTGGACAGACGACAAACGACAACAAACCGCAGGAACTGTTTCCACGGAGGGTGAGAGCTGTGCGCGAGAGGAAGTAGAGCGTACGAATACGAATAACTCAGATAGCTCACTGTATCGATTCGCCTGGGGAGATTTGACTCAATAAAATAGTCCTTTATTGTCCCCAGCGCTGGGCCAGTCGTGTCTGATTGACGGAAAGCCAAAGGCATGCGTTGTCTGTTAGACTTTTTTTCAGATAAAGATCGTGTAATTTGTTCAGACAGCCCTGTTGAATGTTGTTGTATTTTCCGATACGTTAAACTCTCCTTAACCACGGCCTGTTTTGGAATATTTTTATTCAATCGAATTTCGAGAACGAAAGTTATGCGTCGGAGACTCGAGTGGTAGTGTACAATAACAAAATTCCACACTGAAATTTAAGTTGGTTTTGTAAAGGATGTCTTATGCGGAAATACCAGCGCTGTTTACAGAACCTCTGGCTGCTCCAGCGTTGCGATTCCTTCAAATATCCTTCCTAAATATCACACTCTCATAACCTCCTTCACCAAACTATCAGTGCTCCCGTTCTCAAAAACGTGTGACTAGTCAATTTGTTACCCATTATTCAAATAGAAGAATATTAATATCAATAGTATATTGACAGTGACAACATCCCGAACTGTTTCTGTTTGCAATTTCCTGGACGGTTCTGACACACATGCTTTAAGACGTTTTAAGTATTAGTTTTACGCCGCTCTTGGCAATCTTCAAGCAACATGGGCTTCACACATTGTACCGTTGTGGGGAATCGAACCCGGGTCTTCGGTGTCACTACCGACTGAACGCTTTACGCTTTACGACCCAACGCCCCTGTCTAATTAAGGTTGTAATTAACTTCCGTAGTCATTTATACATTAAGATATTGCTTTAACTGAGTAACAGTGAAATGGACCTTCTCAGGACTGATAGACAACATTTATCTTCCCCTTAAAACGGGTGGCCCAGTTGTTTACAGTGTTGCAGTTCGAGTACTATCCTTGCAGGATCAGCTTGTCTTGGATCCCAACCCAGATGCTCCCTGAATGTGGGACAACCACGTGCTGGTTTTGCTTTTTGCTTCACCACACATGCAATAGTTTTTCATGTTTGGATTTGAAATACCATAATTACACTGAGCAAAGGATTATCTCCCCTTTGTCAAGCAATGTCCAAAGCAACATTTCGAGAGATTTGGACACAATTGTTACCTGCCATGTATGACTTCAGATAAGTGAGTGAACCGGGTTTTGCGTAGACTAAAATCGAGTCTCTGAAATGAACATTTTACCCAACAAAACGGTTCCTGAAATATATTCATAATATAAGACAAAAAAGTGCCCAGATACTTTCTTCGTTCTCGGAGCCTGAAACTGTGATAATCCAGTCTGTATTGGGTATATGTGTTTCAGGGTCTGCATGACAGACTAGATCTGTATGACAGACTAGGTTTGTATGACAGACTAGATCCGTATGACAGACTAGATCTGTATGACAGACTAGGTTTGTTTGACAGACTAGATCTGTATGACAGACTAGATCTGTATGACAGACTAGGTTTGTATGACAGACTAGGTTTGTATGACAGACTAGATCTGTATGACAGACTAGATCTGTATGACAGACTAGATCCGTATGACAGACTAGATCCTAGATCCGTATGACAGACTAGATCCGTATGACAGACTAGATCTGTATGACAGACTAGATCCGTATGACAGACTAGATCTGTATGACAGACTAGGTTTGTATGACAGACTAGATCTGTGTGACAGACTAGGTTTGTGTGACACACTAGATCCGTATGACAGACTAGATCCGTATGACAGACTATATCCGTATGACAGACTAGATCTGTGTGACAGACTAGATCTGTGTGACAGACTAGGTTTGTATGACAGACTAGGTTTGTATGACAGACTAGATCCGTATGACAGACTATATCCGTATGACAGACTAGATCTGTGTGACAGACTAGATCTGTGTGACAGACTAGGTTTGTATGACAGACTAGATCCGTATGACAGACTAGATCTGTATGCCAAACTAGATCTGTATAACAGACTAGGCTTTACGCTAAAACCAGAAATATAACAGTCACTTTAGGTTGGGGGTAGACATGCTGGGAATGGAACCTGCGCCTTCAAGTTCAAGCACTAAAACACTCCCCCGTCACCCACCCCGTCACTCACCCCGTCACCCACCCCGTCACCCACCCCGTTGATCGCGCCAGTCAACTGTCATACAAAAGAAAGTACACAGCTGGTGCTTTGGGATTATTGTTTTTTATAAAACCCCGTAAATACTTTAAAACGTGCTTTCATTGTGACATATAGGAATGTCCCGTTGAAACGATCTGTTTGATATATATGTTTTGATGACATCTCCACTACATGGCGATTGAGATACAGTAGGTGGTAGCCCCAATGGTTACAGCTCTGGCTTAACACGCCTAACACCAGGATTCGATATGGTACATCTGTGAAGTTAAAGAAAGAATAAACTTTTTTTTGCGTGTTCTCTTTTAACCATTACATATGAAAGACTTGTTGGTTAGTCTTAAGCGGAACACCGGACACCGGACAAATCATCTGAGTTGGTCTGTCGATTTCATGTGACTGTGCCTAATTTGGATTAGTTGTAATTATTAGTTTTTGTGTCAGTGAGCAATTCATCGGTCTCAAATGAAATCAAACGGACTATAGTGAGTCTGAACTTTTGATGGGTAGTATATTACACAAGACCCAGATCATGTGACAGTATCACACTTAAATCATTGCTAATAAATAAAAGTTAAACCTTCCAGTCTGACTTCCAAAATATTCCTTCATGCATTCTGGGGCGGTTGCGTAGCCAAGTAGTCAAAGCGTTCACTCGTCACGCCGAAGACCCGGGTTCGATTCCCCACATGGGTACAATGTGTGAAGCCCCTTTCTGGTGTCCCCCGCCGTGATATTGCTGAAATATTGCTAAAAGCGACGAAAAACCATACTCACTCACGTACTCGTTTTATGCATTCAGAACCTACCAGAGAAGAGCGAAAGCCATATCTCTGACTGTTATATTGTTTTTATAATTCCTACTAGAAATGCCTCTGGGTTTGGTATCCATCCTGCTCGAGCCCTTCAAAGTGACGAGTGTAGTGATTATCAGTTACCTTGATCAGTGGAGCAGAAACGATTCGTGTATAACTTGGTGGAGATCTCCTGCCCGATAACGGAGATAACAGAGACATGAGAGAGTTTAACAGATCTCTGTCGAGGGATTGTGTTACTGTGTTATCAGCCGAGACAGCACCCAGTGCACGGACCACCTGCGTCTGTCCATAATTAGTGTTGGGTAAGTAGCGTGGACACATTAGAGGCAGACCCAGCTTTGTGCTGGGATCAAAGATGAATGCAGATGTTATCGACTGGTTTGGGCATATGTCTAGCAAATAGGTGTAGTTGGACTTGGGCTGAGCTTAGGCATGTGTGTGAGCGTGCGCCAGTGCGTGCGCGCATTAGTTAGTTTTATAAGTTAGTCTGTCTCCTACACACTAGAGAAGTGTGAGTATGGTTTTACGCCGCTTTTAGCAATATTCCAGCAATGTCACGGCGGGGACGCCGGACGCTTAAACCACCAGGCTACCCCATCGCCCCTCCCAAGTGAATAAATTAAAAGAGGAGTCCATCTCAAGTCTAGAATGATTGGGCAGGTCAAGATTGCCTCAGTTAAGAACAGTTCTTGGATCCTTTTGGGGTTTTTTTCACATTTTATCGTGTAGAATAAATTTTTTGAATAACGTAACTTTACACCTTGGACTAAATGTATACCTAGCTATGACTGTATGTTAGAGGGAGGTGTCATGGCACAGAGACAGCCCGTGAAGATCTGGGTTAGAATTGATCTTCAGCAACCCATGCTTGTCCCACCCGTGAAGATCCGGGTTAGAATTGATCTTCAGCAATCCGTGCTTGTCGTGTGAGGCGACTAACGGGATCGGGTGGTCAGGATCGCCGACTTGGTTGACACATGTCATCGGTTCCCAATTGCGTAGATCGATGCTCATGGAGTGATCACTGGATTGGCTGGTCCAGACATGATTGTTTAAAGACCGCCGCCATTTAGCTGGAATATTGCTGAGTGCGACGTAAACAACAAACAAACAAACTCATAGTAACAAAGGTTCTTATGTGATCAGGCCTTGGCGTCTGTGGTTTCAAATTTAAATTAAGGACGAGCCCATGCTCTTGGGTTCTGCATTCATCATGCTGATGTTGCTGAATATTTACTTCTTCAGCCCATTCGGAATTCCGATGTACAGTTTCAGAGTTAAGTATCAAGAATGTCCTCAAACCCCTCCCCCCACACACACCCCACCCCATTCTAACCAACACATTCCACATCTCTGAAAAACCAGAACAGACTTGTCTCAAAAACAAATTTTCATTCATACCAAACAGATTTACCGAACAAACCAATCCTCCCCGTCTTCTGCGTCTGTCAAGCACAGGTGTTAAACCATCCCAAAAGGATTTTTCTGATAGCAATCATGACATAAAAAATAATATTTTCCATGCCTGCTGTCTTCCGTAAAGCTGCCGGGTCGTTAAGACAGGCTATTGGGATCCCTATCAGGAATGAAAAAAACACCGGTCCCTGCTATTGTTTTTGTTCCGCCCGATATTTTGCAATATGATGCAAATTCAGCATAAAATTAAATCAGATGACGATGTTCAGTTTATTGTACGGCAGATGTTTCCTCTCATGAGAGCTATTAGCTGATCCGGAAGAGATTAATCTCTTCCCTAATATCCCTGTCCTGCACGTGGTGCCAGGTTACCCGGATTACACAAGAATTATTCACGATCTTCAGCCCCTCCACTACTGCCTTTGTTCTCTGTTAAAATTTGGAATGAAAATTTTATTATTTAATATTTCCTCGATTCATTTAATGAAAACTTGCTTAATGAAGAAGGAACTTCTGGGAGGTCTGGGTTGGAATGTATGAATTCATTTCAGATCATTATTGTATTATTTCAAAGAAAATGGCATCAGTCCCTGATGTC